CATTTATAAAATAAAATAAAATTCTACGAGGAAAACGAAATTAAATTTAAATGTGATTTCCTTATCATATATATTATCAACAGAATTAACACTACCTCGTATCAAATTTATATTACACAGTCTTGTATTGTGGTCACAAAATTTGTAAACACTGCCGAGTCCACATTCCGTAACGTAGAACCTTAAGTATAGTTTCAAATGAAAGATCTCGTTGAGGTCTATCCAAATTTTCAAAGAAAATTGAGGTACCACCTCAGGATCTTGAGACAGAGATTTCTGAAATACCCGGTTTTTCTAGAAAACCTAGTGACTTTAAAATTTCTTTCAGAATATTTTCAACTACATCATTAGATAGCCCGTTCAATTCTACACAAAATCAGACTTTGGCCAACTTTCTGCGATCTTGGACGACAAGTTAGAGGCTTTTTAACATTACAAATATAAATCCATCGAAAATTTTCGCGTTAATGCTGAATTTTCGATCTGTATCGTATTTTCTATGGCACTTTTTGACAGAACATCGTAGAAACTTGATCAACATCACATTTTCTAGACAATTGAACACATTATCTAATAATGTGGTTGAAAATATTCTGAAAAAAATGTTAAGGCCACTAGATTTTCTATGTTTAATTTAATGTGATATGTAATAATTTATACTGTGGACTCGGCAGTGTTTACAAGTTAGGCGAAAAATATACGTGAAAACAGTGAAAAATGCTCATTTCCACTGGGACAGTATTTCGTACATAACGTTTTTTCCTAGTCAGACAGAAACTTGCGGTTTTCGCCATTGGATTCAGCATGCAAAACTGCTTCAGATTACATATGTCTCGTCGTTTGTGCCGATACTTTTATATATTGTGGTAGATATCATATGGATTGAGCCTATTTTATCTATAAGAGCTGATGTACTGCATAAAATGAGCCCATATTTTTAGCGATCCGTGAGGCCGTGACTGTACAGTTGGGATAATTTTTTTAAAATTCTACGTTTCATTTTTCTGGAGAAAAGCTTGCAAGAGGAGGAAAAATATGTGATTCCGTCACACTTATCAGATCTTGTACCATCTCTTTTCCTTGATAATTCTATTCTTTGTGTGCGAGAGAGAGAGAGAGAGAGAGAGAGAGAGAGTATTTGAAATTTATATGCGCAATAAACAAAATTATTCTTGTCCTTAAAAATAAATAAATCAGAGACCTCACAAGTGCTTTTCTTTCTAATCGTATTCAAGAACAACTAGTTGTCAGCATGTATTTTTTACATTCAGAAGAGGGAAAGCGCAAATTTATTTATCGCACACGTATTGAAAAATTTTTAAATGCAAAATTTTTCTTATGATCTATAAGACAATATTATTCATCGGCAATTAAATTACACTACATCGCAAGATTAAAAGAATTTTGATTAAAATTAACAATTTCTTTTTTCTAAGATTCTTCTTATATTATAAATGACCTTATTTCAGGCTTGGCTAGTGCAAATATAATTCTTTTTCAAAGTAAGTGGGAGTGAATTTTTTTCTTCTTACTACGATTATTTCAGAAACATTTTCAAAAACATTACTATAGCTGATTCTATGAATGAGAAAAAGTCGGTGACGCATTTTTTGTTAGAATCCGTACAATACTAGTGTCAAAGAAATACACTTCTTTCTAATTGGTGATCTCGAGCTCTCTAGTCCAAAAGGAGAAATTCGAAATAAAAACACCTAGATCAACCTGGTTGGAATATATTGCAACGTTAAACGCATTTTAAGTCTGACAATTATGTTTTGTTACTAATTTCATAAAAATTACTCCTCGTTCTTCTTTTGTTTACGCCATTTGCCTATTTTATGTGCATACTTTATTTTTTTAATTGTATTTATTTGTTTTTTGTAATGTATGTGTATATAATGTATGAGTGTCAATAACAATAATCTAAGTATGTTTATTATTGTTCCCTACATTATAAATGAGTGAGTACTTGTATGCCTTTTCGTATTGTTGGTATTAGACTGCTGTAAACTGTTTATATACAAATCTCTCTTCATGAAACAAACAAAATGCTATTATTGGATTTCTGTTTCTTTTTCTCTATTCACATATCTATTCTAATGGCATCATGTTTTCTTTCTTATACTTTCACTTGATAGTAAAGTCAATACTTATGCTATAAATGAATCACTCACCTAATGTTCCCGTATCGGGTTGTATTTGACTCGTAATGACCACTAAACGTTTTGATGTACCAAAATCGGCCAATTTAACGTTTCCTGAACTATCTCTTAATATATTTGCACCTAAAACAGAAGTATATAGATAAATTTGTTCTTTTCTACATTACTGACTCACTCACACTTAATATCTCGATGCACAACTTGATTTTTATGCAAATATTGTAAACCCTCTAATATCTGCTTTGTATATTTTTTTATCAAGTGTTCAGAAAGGGCACCGTAATTTTGAATTTCTTCTCGTACAGAACCACCAGCCATATACTCAATAAATATTTGAAAGTATTCATCTGTTCGTGTTGAACCATGATAACGAACAATTCTTTCATTATTTAGCTGTTTATATATATTAATTTCACATTCGAGAATTTTGACTTCCTATAAAAAATTCAATATAATGTACTTGTTTTTTATTGTCTCAAAAAATAGAGTACCTTGGAAGATTCAGAATTTAATGCTCGTACAGAAATTTGTTTCACAGCCAATTCTCTGCCTGTATCAACATCATAACAGAGATACACTTTTCCGAAAGCACCTGAGAACAACAATCGATTGGCAGTATCTGCTTAATGTTAAAGAAATATTAAGTTTTATTACCTTGACCTAATTGACGACCAAGTTTCCAGTTTAATGGAGTTTGTGGTGCTAGAAAATTGAAATGATGGATCAATTAATCTAGACTGGTTTTTCCCAGTATGCTAAACAACTTACAACGAAAATTACTGGTACTTGAACACGAACATTGACTACAATACGAACCATCTCGACTATTACTACTACTGCTTGTACCGCTTGAACTTGTTGCTGATGATAAACTACATGTACTCATGGCACTTCGAACATCATTATTTGAGGAGTTTCTTGTTATTGAATATCCGGCTGAAAAAGAACGAGATAATCTAACATTAAAAAGGTTCGCATCTGGCTTTCTTTCCCTAATGGTGTTATCCATATTTTACCTGGTAGTCGTCTATAACGCGAATGATTTTCACTTCCTCTTGAATCACAACTTGAGATCGAGCTTCCGCTAGAATGATGGTGTTTTGTCTAAAGAAAATGGAGATCAATCGAATGTCAACTCTCGTACAATTTATCATATCCTACATGTTCTGGAATAAAACGATCGCCATTAATGGACGGCGCTGAATTACTTTGTGTAATACGTTTCTTTTGACCGATAGTTCCAGGTGGTGGAGAGTCTTCAACATTCATAGCTGATGTTAAATCCTAAATGATAAATGAAATTAGTATAAAATTTTTAGTGAGAATAATTATTTTTCACCAATGTTTCACTGTCATCACTGATGACAATCTCTGATATTGTCTTTTTTCTTGCTAATAATAAATTTAATTTATTTGCACTATTTGCTTCTGATATTGACAGAACATTATCCAAATCTTCTTGACATGTCACCGGTACACATATTGTTAAATCACGAGAAAATAAACAACGTATATCGATATTAGCACCAAATGCTTGATTAATAAAACTAATTAAATCTTCGTATAATAATGGTTTTCGAAGAAAATATACGCGTTTTTCACCTTCAAATTCAAATTTCACCTTCTGTATACAAGAAGAAAAGAAATATTTATAGACAAGAACAAAAATGATGAATTAAATATCAACTCTTACTTGTTGCCGTCTAACTGCAGCTTTGACTAGATTCGCTTCAATTGACGCTAATATATTGTCCCCCATAACAGTTAATTATGTGTTCCACATCTAAGAGTTATATAGTAATACTATCCATTTATACGTCTAACTAAAAGATTAGTACAATAATTCCGACTTAACACTCAGTACCCCTGTTTTCTCCTCTTCCACTGGATAAGTCAAAGCAACTTGACTAATCCCTGATAGTGGATCTTTTGATCTTACGAACTCTCTAGTAGAGTAAGCTCAAACTAGATTCGTGAACAAAGACCGACATTTACAAAAGACTATTTTTTTCTTGTCTTCTCATCTCCTGTTCACCATCTACGTTTATTGACCATCAAAAATACTAAAACCTATAGATATCAATCAAAGTTACAAACCTTATAGATTGAAAGGCTGAGCAAATGTTTTTCGAGATTTACCTCGATTTTTGAAGTCAAGCATTTCAAAACAAACACAATATTTTGCTTTTAAGATGTGAAACGAGTTCGTCGGCAACATATTTTATAATAATAGTGTGGTATTTTGTTGCAGCAGCTGAGTGACGATAGAACGTTACGAAAAAACGAAAAAGAGAAATATCTTTCCAACACAAGTTAGGTTACTATTTCATTCGTTGAAACAAGTTCTTCCATATAAAAAAAAATTGAGTATGCTGAAAACATTTGCTCATCCTCATTACTAAAGCTTAGTCTTATAACAACATGCAGCAACGCCAAAACAATCCATGTGACGTTACCTATAATAATAGAGAAAAAATGTACTCATTTCATCGAAAAGAAACGGTGCGATATAGGCTCATTTTCGTTGTAACAATAAAGAGAAAACAGAAAGAAACGTGATTATGCACAAAAGTTTAGTCATTATAGTGACTGAACGAAAGAAAAATAATAGTTGTTTTTATTGTCTACATAATTTCATAAATTAAAAAAGGTCAGTTAAGGTCCAAAAAATAGTTTTCAGGTCATCCTCGCTCATGAATGAGATACGCATTAGCGACTCTATCGAAAAAATGTTACTCAAACAATTTCTCCATGCAAGATTTACTAATTTTATTTGTGTTGAAATGAATAAAGGATATTTAAAGTTTTAAAAGTTCTTATAGTTCAGAAATTGCCCTCAAACTCTAGAAATAAAGTGAAAACATTCAAGTAAAGTAATTATTTAATAAATCTTCACATGCCAAACGGGCTTATGTGGATACTGAAACACTAGGACTTTTTCAGCTCAAGATTGTTTAATGGATAGCAGAGAATTACAATTAATCATTCATATTGACAAACGAGTTAACGAAAGTTATTGATATCGGTATTTCGATATTTTAAACGCACCTTGTTTGAACTAAATAAACTAAAAATTTTATTAGACTTAGCGATATGAAATTGAAATTTGATGAGTAACTTCAGTAAGATAACTACATGTTTAGTATGTATTTTCTTCCTTTTGCTTTTGTCGCTAAGCTTTTCAAAGAAGAATGATTCAGTCACTCTTTCATTTCGTCGAACAAAGAAAACATTTCGAGGAAAGCTGAGTCGTTACTCATCGAATTATTTCATCAATCTTTCTGATCCAATTTGCAATTGTAGTTGGTCTGTCAGAGCGGAAAGGTGGAGTTGAAGTAATGAAAAGGTCATCTTGTTCGTTTCTAACTTCTGTTCTAGTCAGGTAAGTTTCAAGGGTTGAAACGATATCTAGTTTTGATGACGTCTCATTTGTATGGAAAACTAGCTTAAATGGCCTATGATGTTCTCTTGTCGTTTGTGTTAGATCACTGATGAACTCCACTCAAGTTCCATATTGTAACATATGAGCGATTTTCATTTTTTGTAATTCTGAACAGAGGTGGCCCGAGACACTCAGAATTGGAGGGTGGACATTCTTTTAACAATTTTTTCTAAAAATTGAATCGCTTTTCCACAATAAAAATGTTTCCGGGGAGGAGACTCCACTGAAAATTTTTCGCTACCCGAGCTCTGTTTGCAAAAATGTTTATTCATTTGGCTGGTGAAAAAGAATTATTTTCAAATATAGGGGAAGGGATATCCGCTGGATCCTTCTCCTCCTCCCCGCTCGGATCACTTGTGTTTCTGAAGATCTGCCTGCACTCAACAGAATCATCACTGTAGCTAACTTGCAACTCAGTTGTAAAACTGATAGCTCTTTACCTTGCTGCATAGTTTCTATATGCTTGAGTAATAGTGACACATTCTCCGTAGAAGAGTATTGTGATTGAGGAGTGCGTAGGTTAAAAACATTGCGCATAAAGCTTTTTATTAATGGATGCTGATCTATCTGGACACCATCAACTTGTTTCATATTTACAGAAAGTGCTGATCGATAAAGATTTATAATGCGATATTCTAATTTATTTTCGAATAACTCAGTTAAAAAATTCAGGACATTGGCCATAGATGCTGAAAATGGATCACCATGTTTAGATAAAATCCAGGCGGACCACTTCTGGCAGCAACATTTATACACAGTCCTGGTACCTGATCTCTGTGCATTGATAATAATTTGTCTTGCTTTTGATGAAATTCCGCTATTAATGAGCGATTCCCTGACATTTTCTAGGCCGCCAGTTGTAGCCTCTCCTCCACACCACCGGGTTCTTTTGGCCTTCCGGACCCAACATTAAGTGCAGATACGATGGAAAATTTATCGGCTGCTCGGCTAATTGACCTAACAACTGCAGATAATACGTTTGATTGGGCCAGACTGGCGCTATCAGTAGAACTGTTGACCTTTCCTTCCGTAACTTAGCTAAAACACGGGAGATTAAACAGAATGGTGGAAATGCATATGCATCACTGAACTTTGACCGACTAAAATGGAGCGAATCTGTTCCCAACACTTCTGGAGCAGGCTTCCAGCTGAAAAACTTTTAGCTTGACAATTAAGTCGAGTTGCAAATAAGTCCACGTCAGATGTTCAGCAAAGTTTTTTTGCAAACTGTCGAATATTATTCCATCTAACCGCCAATCGCTAGAGTTCGTAATTGACGTGAAGCCCACCCTGCGTCTGTGTTAAACTTTCCTGGTAGAAACTCGGCGTAAACGTGCTGTTTCTGCTTGAAACAATATTCCCAAAATTTTTTGGATGCTATGGTAAGATCTTGAGATCGAGTAGACCCGGGTTTTTCTATTCTGTCCTATCGTTCACAAATTCTAGAGAGGAGTCTTCCTTTGTGTCCCTTAGACAAGTCATATTTTTCGGTACCCCCAGCAATAAAACACGCAGTTCAAAATCGCTGTATTTGATCACATTTTGTTTCGTTCAGAGAAAGAAAAACGTTATTGTACTTCAGCTACAGAGTTGCATATTCAAAAAAGTGCAAAAAAAATGGCAAAAATAATTAATGTGCAATTTTTCTTCTTCGAGCCACCATCCTCTTCCTATATATGTTCCATTAGCATGAAATACGCCACATATTTCGATATTTTAGACTCGTCTTATTTGAACTAAATAAATTTTGTTTTACAACCGCTTTTTTCGTTACAGGAAAACTTAAACCTTGGAAACTTGAACTGATTCTTACTACACACGCAGTCCTCGAGACTGCCTTTCTGTAGCTTTTCTCTCAACACTTACTAAGCGTCAGAACGACGATTAGTAAGTGGATGGGTGACCGCCACTGATGATCGAATCACTGGATTATTTTCGGGATGTCTGGCGTATATATTCTCAACTGTGTTAGAAGAAAAGTTACAGAAAAGCAGTCTCGAGCACCGCGCGCGTAGCAAGGGCCAGTTCAAGTTTTCAAAGCTTCAGCTTTTCTGTAACGAAAAAAGCGGTTCTAAAACAAAATTTATTTGAAACATATTTCGTCAACTGTATGGGTTAATCAATCGCACGAGACGAACGGAAATGTTCTTGTACAACTATTTAGAAGTGCTGAATGTACGGATTGTTTTCGCTTCACCTGTTGGATTTTGTTTTAAATCATTTGTACTGTACCAAGAATTTCCTCTCTTTCTATTATTTCGATTATCTTTGACGATGAGCACTTGAATACACCCTGAATCATCCATCTTAATAACATACTGTTCAACAATAAATGATTTAATAATCGTTTTTTATCGCATTAATAATTTACACGAAAATTAGGCTGCCGGCACATTATTGACGAAACTATTCAGTATCAATTGAATAATTTCAGAGATCGTACGTATGGTATTGTTATCAGTTCGGTTCCCGTGACTAATCCATCAATACTTAGAAATCGAAACGCAAATGACTGATTATTCAGTAATACAAAATCTATAAATAAATCACCGAGGTTGTAGCCTTTAAAACGAATGTGAACAGTAATAAGCATATAAACATTATTTTCTTATGAATTTGGCCAAGAACGTTTTATATTGGTAATATTCTTAATGACAGTATGCCAACAATTTATTATTGTCATGGATTTTAACAAATGAAAATTGGTTTGCCTATGTCAATATCTAAATATTTAACATCAAACATGTTAGAGATGAATGTATTCGAAATTTTAATGTGTTATTTGTTAAGATTCTGAGTCCTATTTGTTTTTTAAGCGACCAGATCACTGAGCCTCTTATCCAATAGCAAAAGCATGCCGGTTAAGAATGGAACAAAAAATATTTCATCCTTAAAAATACTTCATATCTGACTAATTACATGATCTCAAAAACACAAATTAGTCATCGACAGAGTAACTTTCGTTTATTATGCTTCTGTGATCCACTAGCATAAGTGTACCAGATGTTCATCGAACGAAATTTACAGTTGATGAGGAAAGCCTTATATCCTTGTGTAGTAGAGTCAACGAGATACCTGTATCAAACATTTTTTGCTATTAACCGTAAAAATAGTACGTATGTGGAATGCACGTATTGAAATGTACTGTTTATAACAAATTACATTATGATAGCCTTTTTCTATCATGGTAACACTAGATTTGACATCCAGTTATCACTAAAATAAAAAAGATACGTTTCTTTGACTTTACTCTTTCATTTGAGAAAGTCCAATATATTCTAAAACATTGATAAACGTCGGTCGAATGAAAAACGTCAATATCTAGACCATATGCAACAATTTATGACGGAAGAAACAACAACAAGAACAATATTATTAACACAATCTATTCTTTTTTTATTTGCAAGTTGTTTTTGGAATGCTATTATTTATGTTCAATGGACTAATGCCGATGACAGCAAAGGTACATCGCGAGCAAGCGGTTTCGACTTATTAAATAATTAAATAAGTAACCATTATTTTTCGAAAATTATCACTATTTTATCCGCTTCCGAGATCACAAATATTTAAAATAAACTCTTCGCTTTCTTGATTGCACTATGAACTAATACTGATTTTTTTAATCTGTTGAACGTGATAACAGAGTATCAAAATCGTTATGTAATTACAATATTCTCTACATCGACTAGTAAATAGCTCGTTTATCTCAGATATCCTCA